GTCATATTTTATGGTGGAACTTACCGATAACAGTCTGTATATGAAGACCTAAAGAAGAGCAGTACATGATTTAGAATACCATTAGAATACAAATGTTGCATAATTTCCTAAAATTTGATTCACAACCTTCCCATAATACAGCACTCTGCTAGACACCAAAGAAGCCTCATTAAAATTTTACTTTCGTTCAAGCACATAAATTGTTAATTAGGAGTTAAAAACCTGACTCTCTTATTGAAGTTAGCCCATCTATTGCCCCTGCAAGTTCTACTTTAGCTCAATTTAAAATCTATAATAATAATAATAATAATAATAATAATAATAATAATAATAATATTAATAATAATAATAAAACAAACCTTTTTCTTCTGTCCATCTCTCCATACACGAGCCATTGCCTGATCATCATTAGCAGGATTCCAGTCAGGATCAAACATTACAAGTCTGTTAGCACCAATCAGATTCAAGCCACAGCCACCCGCTTTACTACTTAGCATGAATACAAAGTCACCGCTCTAAAGCAAGAAACAATGATGCACATTTAATAAATAACTTTTAAAACAGTAACTGCCAATCTGTCCTCATTCAATATTTTATAGAGAAGTGCAAACATACTCATAGAGTCAGATAGGATAACTTGTTAAGAGAACTACAGTATGTACTACTGTACACGTAAATCAGCAGTTCCACATATCTACAGATCCAAAAGTTTTGATCAACCAAGTGGCGATCAGTTGTGATCCAAGAAATTTATTTCAACATGATAGCTTTTTCCCTTTCCAATCCAATCAGCATTTCATATTCAAAAGAAAGTGATGCTACACAAGCTGATTTATGATCCACATTAATTGAAACAATGCTGTAACGCTTCTTACTTCCTACTTTGATGATTTTAAATACAAGAAAAACCTTTGGGTGACACTGTTAGTGGTTTACCTTTACATTACCTTGACATCTCCTTGAGATTATATAGTTGAAGCTTTGAATCTTAAATCATTCCAAAATCAAGGTAATATTGGATTTATTGAACCAAAGATCACCATCTGAGTGAACCATAAATGCTTCAGTCATTTTTACTAGTACTAATGCTACTTACATGAGGATCATTAAAGCGGTCAACAATCTTTTGCCGCTTTTTGATAGACATGGTACCATCAAGACGAACATACTGGTACCTGAAAAAAGTTACCATAACCATTAGTGATAATTTTGGTTTTGGAGGTGATGATCTAAACTGTAGCAAGACATGAATTGGTGAAGAAATCATTCCAAAACAGGACTATATTTTAATCTTGTTAAGGGTCTTTTCAGTAATAGATGAAAGAAGACATCATCAGTGACACTGGGTGTACCTCATATGCCACTTTTTTGTTCTTACCACATTTTGATGTCATCTGTGATCTATTACTGATCAGATGTATGGCAACATGGAATCTGTTTGTTAAAATTGAACTTGTCTAGCAGGTGGTTACGAGCTTAACACAAAATGTACAGTGCATTTCCAATCTAGGGTTATCATATTAAACCTGCATATCTTTAGTAACCACTTTGACTTTCTATCAATTTGTTAGCAAATGTCGCAAAATGAGTGACATGGTCAATGGATTTTAGACAACTTACTTGAATGCAAAACCTACCTTCTTTGTCTACAAAGTTTCTCAAACAAGTCCAGGGTTTGAGTATAATTAGAAACCAATACAACCTGTTGTAAAACAGTTAAACATCACAACTCAATAACACTGTAAGGGATAATATATTACTCTCATTATGAGACAACAAAACTAATGTAAATGAAAAAAATTATACACTTCTGATTGGCTGAAAATGAGTACATTCTCATCTAACATAAGTGCAAAGTTAAAACACAAGTGCAAATTACATGCACGCTTAGAAAATTTTGTTAGTCTTGTCTCTTCATTTTTTTCATGGACATTATTAACAAGTAATAACATGATTTCTCTTGCAATTTGGCGTAATGAGCACTTGTAAATTTTTCAAAGACTACAAACTGCACTTGCCCTTCAGGCTCATGCAATTTTGTTGTCTTTAAAATTTTACTTGTGCTTATAAACATCAAATTGCAATAAAAATCATAGGATGCAAATAAAAGATGTTATACTAACATCCTTTATTTGCATATCTCCATAATAACACTTACAACTGATCAATGAGCACTTAAATATTGATGAGAGTAATCAATTTTCCAGGAAACAATCAATGCTCTTAAAACAGAAAATTATGGTATGAACAGTGTTGTAGATTAGTAAGTATTACTGGCCACATAAAACACGTACAAGGATTGAGCTAGTTCCTTACCTTGTCTGTAGTGGTAGATTTTGTCATGGCTAAAATGTAATCTAATACTTGCATTTTTCCTAAAACAAAAAAAGATCATAGCAACAAATCAATAAATGATAAATCATTTTTAATCAGCTTGGCCAAAGAGGGGAATGTAAATAAACATGTGCATGTAATGGAGTTTAAGTAGGATGTTTACCACTGTTATAATAAAATTCTCAAAAAACAACCCTCTTACCAGAAAAAAAGACATATCATAAAAATGATTTTTTTTATTTAAATAAGCTAATCTAAACATTATTGTTTATTTAATCCTTGAAGTTACTGACTTCTAACTTCTCAACACAGTATCATTCTTGAACAAAAAAGATTTTAGGAAGTAATCACAAATTTAAGAAGCTCCTGATTGTGCAAAGGGCAATACACAAAATAATAACAGAGTACTATAGATAGCAAGAGGATGACACAAAATTCAATTTTTGCTTTCTGCCATTTCATGTCATCTTAACCTACCCATACATGTCTAAAAGCCTAACAGATTTTTGGATACCAACAACTTCAACTCACCAGAGAGTTCTGGCTGCACCTGCTTGAGGCTGAAGCTTTTGGGAAACAAGTCCAGTATTCCTTCAAAGCCATCTTCTCCCATTTGTGCCTTGTCATAGATTAATTCAGGATCTGAGACAAAAATGGAGCAAGTTCTTAACATTTCAACACTGCACATGATGACTGCTAACTGAAATCAATGTCAGTACCTGAGCACCTACCCTTCCCCTAACCCAACAACATACAACTGGTCGCTTGTTTACAGTTGGGTTAGGGGAGGGGCAGGCGCACAGATGTTAAAATACTGAGATTGATTTGTTGAATCAATCTTATATCACGTGATTGTATTCAACTGAAGATTGCTCTAAACAGTATATACTTACGATTGGTCAATTTTTTTAGTTGTGTAATAAAAGCTAGGGATGATGCAGACATTCCAGATGCAGACTTTGCTTTTGTCAGCTCCATTCTCAACACTTTTGACTGAATAAGATGTTTGTAAAGTTCTGTCTGCAAAGGAGTCATGCGGCAACACACAACCTGTTCAACTGTAGAAGAAATAGGAAAATGTCACTAAACCTCTAAAATGTTATCTAGTCATTGAAATGAAGAAAAAAGTCTTAACAAAGCTAAACGAAGGAACAAAGCATCCACATGTTTCATAGATTTCTTGGTGGTGTTAGATTAAGGTTTAAAATGATACAACAGTGACCAGAATTTTAGAGGAACAGAATCAAATGCCAGCAATCACTTTTCAAAAAAAAAAGTTGCATCAAAGGTTTTATCTTTCCTTTTCCTACTTGGACCTTTCATAAGTAAGCAAAAAAAAAAACAAACAACAACAAAAAATGCAGAAAAAGACCAACCTTTAACTGGCAGGTATTTGGACAATATTGAAGCTGTAAGATAAAGAATATACAAAATTTAAGATATCATTGAGAAAACAGAGCCCTTAGTATAAAGTGGGAGAAATAAGAGAACTGTATGGTGAAATTTTGACAACAGCCACCAAGATCCACATATAACTAAGAAATTATTGTAAACTTTCAAATAGTACATTCAACAATTATTCCATAAGTGTGCATTGTAGCGCCAAGTTGGCTATAACCAATCTCATACCCAACAAGCAGGAATAGAATAATTGTTTCATTAAATTTCATTGATCCTGAATGTTTAAATACTTTTAGCAAAAATTTTCAGTTTCTTATTGCAATGCAATTCCATAAAAGGTGACTTGGAATATGAGCTGATAATTGGAGTTGAGTGAACCACTAAGAACACAAGAAATGCAATATCTGGAGTTGAAAATTTAATAATTACCAGTTCTTCTGATGATGCACTTGTTTACCAAAGATGCAAGCTATAAAAAAATAATACAGAAATGCAAGATCAAATCCTCACTTTGAACAGTATCTAATTAATTAATAATTAGGATTATTTTTGGTTTTACCTCCGCCAGTTTTTCTGCTCCTTTCTTGTGATCTGCATCAGAAGCATCAGCATCTCTCCCTCTCAGAATAGGATTCTCAAATTTCCTCTTAAATTCTGATACTGTGCCTGTAATAAATTTTTGTAAGGATCAGTACTAAAGGAGAATGTGCTTACTGATACTAGGGCATAAAGGGTTAAAACCTCACCCCACACAAAAGTATTAATAATTATCATTAATATATACCACACAAGTGAATAGTTTTTTCTACACATGCTGATTGGCTAGTTCAGAGGTGAAAAGCAAGTATTATTCATCTCTTGCAGCCAATGAGACAAAAGTGTCTGTCAAGAATTTCAGTTCTGACCATTTTTTGGTGCATTGAAAGAAACAAACTATTTTTGGGTATCTGCGTGGTATTACGCCAAAACAATTACTTCCCTCAGTGTTGTTAATAGCGGTGAATAATTGTTAATTATAATTAATAATAAAATAATATGAGGATTACTTCATCATTTCAATGTCTCCATATTTGTGTTCACATCATGGAGCAGTACAAATTAACAACAATTTCTCACTCTGCCTACAAGCTACAGTAAAAAAGTAAAAAGTTTTTGTTATTGTCCTTTCATATTCTCAAGAGGTTTAATACACAAGTGCATTCATCAAATTTATATTCATTTGATACAAGTTAAATAAATGACCTACCTAAAATTCCACTATTTACAAAATGAACAAGACTGAAATATTCCAATAAGTCATTCTGAATTGGGGTACCTAGAAAAAACAAACAAACAATGTACAGGAATGCTCTAAAATACAGAGTTCATAAAAGAATGTTTTCAATTTTGTTAAGTGGTTAAATAGGAAGAACTGAGTGTGCTTCCAGGTGCCTGTTGAGGGAGCTCAGACTATTGATACAAGTTGTAAACCAGAAGAGGATTTTTCTGTTCAAATTATTTAACTGTGATATGACAGTATGAGGTATTCTATCCACCTGATAAAAGCACCCTACGTGTTGTCTTTAATTTATCAAGAGCCTGATATGTCTGGCTCTCTAAGTTCTTTAGTCTATGTCCCTAAAGAGAAAAGAAAAATATCAGTTGAACTTACAGTCTGTCTAACGATGTAAAGTGCATCACAAGAAATCAAGTAAAACATACACGTACATTGAGATTTTCATGCACAAACAGGTCATGATATGTTATCTCAGCTGTATCAGTAGTTTAAAATTTAATTAATTTTTTTCACCTCATCACAGATGACTAATCCTACAGGTCCAGACTGTAACACAGAGGCATGAAGTCGAAAAGTTTCATATGAAATGATTAACACAGGGTTTGCTGTACGCTTCCCTTGCTGAGACATAAACATTCCTAAAAATATTAGAAAAGAACAAATGCTTTAAGAAAACAATGAGACTTACCTTAAAAGTTGAAATGTCTTTTCTAAACTAAAACTAGGACTTCAATTTTTAAACCATACAAATACAAAGTAACATAACAAATCTTTAGATTGAAAAAAAGAAAGGGTTGTGCAAAAGCCTAAACTGACCTCCAATGTAACACCTTCTCCCACCGTTTTGAAAAGGAATGTAAGACAATTTATAAGGAGAATCTAACATTCTATCAGTAATCAATAGGGGTTTTTTTTCCACCCACTCTTTCAAAGTCTTACCAAGGTTTTTATCAATTTGATCTTTGGTTCCAGAGTCTATAGCCAATGCAGAAATTCTACCACCAAGCCACTTGTGAAGTTCATTATACCAGTTCTGAAACCAGAAAATCGGAAGTCTGAAACTTGGATTTCTGAAGGGATTTAGCAAAGTCTTTCTCTTAGCTTAGTCCTTCCAACCCCTGGCAGTTTTTCGTTTTCAAGTACTGGTAAGGAAAGACATTTTAAAGAAAGTTTCCCAATTAAAATAGATTATCTTACAGAGCTCCAATATATGTTGGGTTTTCTTGACCCTTTAGCTCCCATGGGTGATCAATACCAAATCTCTCCCCCTATTATCCATAAGGGGATTATTAGTTGATCCAATACCAACTTCTCTGCACTAACATCAAAAGAATTGAATGGCAGACAGTAAGGAGAATTACTAAGGGGTTTTTGGGAGTGAAAGGGCTTAATTAAAACACTACACAGGGAAAGACACTTGAAAAAAGGTACTTGCTCAAACCACTGAATAATTTTTTCCCTTCAAGCCCTGATCACTTCTTACTATTCCATGTTCAGTATTTGCACTGGACCAGCTCTCCTCAGTAAAGCTACAAACTAAAAATGGTGGATGAATCTTTATCCTTAACCCTTTAACTCCCACAATCTGATTGTTAATTCTCTCCTCCAGCTGATACAGTATTCTCATTACCTGTATACTGAATAATGTATGGATATTGTAAGGAGAAGTTACAAGTTAATCACTTCTGGGCATTGACAGGTTAATCAAAGTAATCAGTGTTTGCTCCATGTACATGTACATGTAGGTGACCATTTTGAAGTATTCACTTCCATTTTGAGCTCCTTTAAGAAACTTATGAGACAGAATGAAACCATATTAACAAAATAAATGTGAAATTATAAAACTGTACCTTCACAAGACTTGATGGCGCAACAATTACCACTTTGCTGGCTATTGGCTGACCTGCATGGAAACAAATGAACAAGTTTATGGAAAACTGAAGTGTCTGATCAGAAAACACAGGTACAAGCTGATTTCATGGCATGGTACATGTCATACACGTGGGATGGAAGAGGAATTGGTATTGTACATAGTGCTTTCATAAACATATGGTAGAAATGAGTATATTGGAATAGTGGGTGGGATCCAGTGTGGATTTGTAGGGCCTCAATGGCTTCCTGTTTCGCGAGAGGTTCCACCTTCCTTGCAAAAATTGAAGACTCTTGCAGTAGTGTTATCCTGTCATTTGAGGTCTTTTCCCAATTCATGTTGCTTTGTTGGAATTCAATCAAATTGAATGAATTTGCAGAGGATCAAAGTTATGTAGAACAGGTTATGTGGATACAGGTTAGAACTCAAGAGCATTAAACATCAATCATGCCAAAATATTAGAACTTCACCCAGTGAATTCATACAGACAACAAGTGAACACAGAGGCACAGTGCTACTCAAAAGGAAAGTTGACAGTCTTGCCTTAGAACTCCATCCTCAAGGACGGAGAATCAAGTACCAAGAATCAAAGATCAAGGATCTAGAACTAAGGATTGAGAAGCTCAAAAAAATTTTTATTCTTGTGTACAAAACAATAGTGATGGACAAAGCAATGTAGGTTTAACATAAGTCTTATAATTAGTACTTCCTTACCTTCTGGCCCTTGTTTCTAAAGATAAAAGAGCAAAGTGCAAATTAGTGGATTAAGTTACAAGATAACATGTGGCATTGTGGCAACTAGGGTGAGTTAAATATTATCATCATGATATTAATTACAAATAAACCTATATTATGGACAATGTACTTACCACCAGAGTCCAAATCAGAGTGATACATTGCAACGTTTTTCCTAACCCCTGGAAAAAAATCAACCACTATTATTATCATTTAAGTTAAAAAGTTTCATTGTAATTTAAATGAAAATGAATTTACACCATCGTACATGTATAGTTAAAATGATTTTAAAATTGTTCTCTGTCCTTAATATATGTACATTAAATAAAGCAAAATCCAAATCAAAACAGTTTGAAATCATTTAAACCGAAACCTTATAAAACTAGACCACGTGCATTTAAATGAAAGAAAATAAAGTTTATAACTCAGGGTTGCCAAAATAAGCCAGAAACCGGTAATCACAAAACCAGTCACTAAAAATATTTTTCTTGATCCTGATAACTACACTGTAAAACTTCATGAAAAGGGTTCTGTTGGTAAATAAAGCTGACTGTGTACTTCATACTCATTTCAGGTGTACTCTCAGCTTATTTACCCTCAGGTATATCCAAGGTTCCCAGCCCCTGATCAGAAAACGAACCCACACTCCTTGTTCAAACAGAGTTTGAATAAGAAAAAATTGTAGAAATAAATCCTAGAGGTTACCAGATCACAAGTAGACAGTGATAGCTCAAATAATTTTAAAAAGAACACACATAGGAATGGTTGGACTTGTATATCATTAAACAAACCATTTCATCTGCCATTATACATCCATTGCTGCCTTGAATCCTTTGGCCAGTTACACAGTCATACAAAAACTTGACGCCCTTTAAAACAAATGATTACTATGATTTCAGTTGCTTTCAAAATTATTTAGAAAAATTGAAACATCTTTGAGTAATTTTATCTTGCACTCTTTAAAACTAGTATGGGTAATAGAAAAGAAAATTGAAAAAAAAGTTGGATAATCTTCATTTATTTTTTTTTAAGGAGAACACATTTCATATCTGACTAAAAAATAGAATCAAAGCTAATGAAAACATCATTAATTACTTCCTTGCAAGGTAGAGATTTGGTGCCTGTCAACCATTCAGGAGTTACCATTTTAGGCAAACTCCTATGCAATGCAAATTCTCTAAAACTAGTACTTGCTATTACCTCTCTCTGATGCGGACGAAGAATTTTACCCAGCAGTGGATCAACAACAACTGTTTAAAAAAGAAAACAGAACAGAAAAAGCTTAATTCCCAGTAATGTTTCTAAACTTTAATTTTGGGGTATGATAATATCACATCACCAAGAAAAAAAAACAAAACAAATTAAACCCCAAAGTATGAACCTGCATCAACCCTTTGTTCCTTAGAAGTGACTAGCTGCTACTTTCTCCTTACCATATCACCCCTGAATCACACATGAAGGTCACGAGAATAAAAGAAATGATCACCGATTAGAGAAGTTCTTGGTTGTTAAACAAATCCTACTTGCCAACACTTTAGAAAATATGTATAGAGAACAGTATGGAGAATATGCATACTGATATTAGGATGTTAAGGGTTAAAATATTAAATGTAAATCTTACCATGCACTTCCTGGAGCTCTCTGAGTAGCAAAATTGATCAAAGAAAGAAACAAAAAAAGGAGAATATCAAGCTCTGTTAAAGACAAGGTATTGTTTTTGAGAAGAAAAAATCAACAAGAAGGCAGCCCCTTATAATCAAAATTAAGTGCCTTCCAAAAATGTGTAAATTAAAGTTTTTCTCACAGACACCCACCATAAGCCAGCTAACATAGTTACATTCAACTGGCTTTTGATCCTTGTCAATGAATCATTGCCATTTATACAGTATAGCTCATAACTATAGGAAGACACTGAAAAGTTATGCAAACTATAATTCCATACTTACCGGTCTGCTGTTAGCTTTTCATGAGCTGTTAGTTCAGGAGGAGAGTAGAGTACAAGAGCATCATCTTCAAAAGGATCATGAAGAGCTGTACGAGGTCCTTTCCTTTTGATACCAAGCCCTCTTGAGAAGGTGCATCCTGTGAAACAGCAATTTTCAATTGCAAGGCAAAAGCACAGTACTGGATTAATCTCTTTCCCATGAATAGAGAAGTAAATTTTGTTAACACTTAACTGCTGGATAGCAATTTGTCTGTGGGCAAAATTAGCTTGTTTGTACTTTGAGTTTCTTTCATCACATTTGATGAGCTGTTCTGGTTAATTTGGTTTTAAATTTACAACACTCAATGAAAAGAAGTCTATTTAAGTGGACTGTGGCTAAATAAAAATGCTTTAATATAGATAGAATTATAATATAGCAAAACTCTAGTTACCAAACCTTACCTTGGTAGTTTGGTATTGGGACCTTGAAAGGCTTAGCAAGAATCTTGCGTATTAAATCTTCCTGTGTGAATAAATTCAATGTATGACCCTTTTAACCCTTAAGAGTGACCAGCATCTAATTTTCTCCTTACAATATCACACTTGAATAACACATTAAGGTTAAGAGAATAAAGGAAATGATCACCAACTAAAGAAGCTGTTGATTGTTAAACAAATTCTCCTCGTCAGCACCTTAGGAAATGTATAGAGTAGAGTATAGAGAATATACATATTGATGTTAGGGTGAAAAGGACATGGGAATCATTTCAAATCACATTCTCTTGATAAGCATTTTAGACAAATTTAACTTTGCATACAACAACCTTTTAACTATAAATAAGTAAGATATACAAGGTACATTTTTAAATCATTTGTAACTGAAGAGAACACTCAAATGAAATAATGACACACATGTAAACAAACAGAGGAAGACAGATATCATACATGAGCTGAAACACTGTTTGACGAATGGTTTGCTTGAGTGGAAAGTGGAGCAAGCACTCTTCTGTCAACATCAGGGTTATCATCTGCTTTGAATGATCCAGGCTTGAACTTCTGAGTCAAAAAGAAACACAGTAACTACAACTGTTATCTACTGTACGGCCAACTTTATGGTTGATCTGTGCATACACCTTTACAGTTTATCGATCCCAAAGCTGATCTGATCATGAAGTTAACGTACTGCATGTAGTTCATACGTGTTTAGGAATACGAAAACTTAAAGTGTAACCTTAGACATCAAGCTAACTCTCAGGTGACCTTACTCTTTACTGCCTCTGTCGCAACGTTAATCATTTTCAATGGTTACTAGGCTTGCTTTCATGGAAACCAAAACAGACGATTCCGTTCCGTCTCACCTGTTTACGTTTGTTCCCAATTTCTTCGTCATCTAAAAACCCTTGTTTCCTTTTGAGAATCTGGCTCGGAGCAAGAGATCTTCTCTGTGAATGAAAAATATTGTAAAGAGGAAATTTTAATATAAATTTAAACTAAATTTGCAAGGAGATAGAAGTTTTTGTCAGTGAAGTAGGCTGCGCAGAGATTAAATCACGAACGTCGAGGGTATGTGGTGACAAACACTATCTAAATCGCTCTAGAACTCATGAATTACATACCTAACTCCATAGGAACTTACCATGGCTCTAAATGTCTAAAAACTCGGTTGGAGCTTATCATGAAAACATGAAGAAACAGTGACACGACACTTGAGATTCGAAAACGGCGCCATGTTAAGCTAACGCTCAGATTATCAATCTACTATGTACCAGTCCCAAAGCAACGAAGTAAATTAACCGTGAGAGGACTGGAAAAATGTGAAATGAAGGACTTAAATTTTCCGATCCTACTCGGCAATAAACCTCCGATCAAAAGCAGCATTATTTAAACAAAATTTTCAAACAACATAATTTTCAACTTCAAGCCGTGTTGATATTGTCAATAGTTTACACATCTATATAAAAAATGGGCGTAAAGTAGAATAGCAAAGTAATATATCATCCCTGAATCTAAATTGTTAATATCGTTAACAATTTAAACATTTCTGACAAAAATGGGCAAAAAGCATAAAAACAAAGTAATTTATGGGTGTTTTTCTCCCTAACTTGTCGGAACGAGTTTCTTACACGACTGGTGATCTATGATTCTTGAGTGAATACAAACATGAGACTAGGAACTGTTTAATTGTCCTGTTTCTGGCACCATATCTAGAGTTCCAGTTGAACGAAATTATCAGGTCAAATACACTAACAGGATATCATGTCACTCACCTGAAATATTTTCTAAACTAATCTAGGAAGTTACTTCGAAAAATTTTGGTTCGTTAGTGTTTATGTAGTCTAAACTTCCTATAAATCCGAGAAACATCACAAGAAACCAGTCGCTTATTTTAAAAACGACCAATGACTAGTAAGGGCTGGTGTTGTGCAACGAATGTTACTACTACAATTCTAGACTAAGCACTGCCACAATTTATCGTCAATAACTTCTCATATGCCTGCCTCATTAGTAGGTACTCTACAGGATATCATGGGGAGCGTTTCGTGACATCAAAAAAAAAACTTCTAATGATGAAAGAGACTACTCAAGCTATAAAAAGCCTTACTTCGGAAAGAGACGCAGGAGATGGGGGTGGCTGAGTGAGGAAAATCGATGCAGAGACTATGGGAGCATGGGCATTTCCACCTCAACTACACTGAACTCTTAAACGACCCTGGCCAACAGAAATGTGTCGCTTGGAAAGTTCCTTCGCAATCTGGAGACCAGTTGTCTGCCTCCATCAAGAGGAGGTTTCGCACAACCACCGGGGCCATTAACGGAAAGCGTGATAATCCTTGAATTATATGACTGAAAACAGCGTAAATCCGGTTACGCTGAACTCCCGGCTTCGTTGAGTAAAAAGTGGAAAAAAATGATGGTGAAAGGTGTTTTGCCTTCTCTGCTGGAGGTAAATTCAAGAATTACAATTTTAGGCAAAAGAGAAGTAAACAGTATCATTTACTTAACGGATTACTAAGGCGTAGTATGTAAGCTTAGATTAGCACAGTTGGATCATACTGCACAAACATGAACGCATGAATCTCACAAAGGAAAAACCTTTCCAAATGTTATCCAGTGGCTAAAAGGTATTCAGGAGGCTGAATTTCAATTAATTTAAGACATTCTCAACCTCATGCTTGACAAAAAATTTAAGTTGATCATTGCTGTTCTCATGCTAAAGGCATTGGTTGACCAATCGCGCTGCCGTGTCAATGGGTGTGGGGCCTGCTGTTTTTATGCTAAGGGCGTTGGATGACAAATCGCGCTGTCGTGTTAATGGGCTAGGTTCCCATAAGCGTACTGAGCGAGGCGACAAGTGTCTCGCGACGATGATCTCTCGGCGCCGGAACAGCAGCCGATTAAAGCTTCTTGAGATGAAAAATCCCACTAGAGAAGCTACTTAAGCCATTTCACCACCAAAGGCAAACAAGGACGCTACGAAGCGAGTCATCACCTCTCTTTCTGGGTAAGTTGAGGAATTCTTTCGTTTTCTCTTCGCGTTCACCCATCCATGAAGGAAATTACTCAATAGTACTTAAAGAATATGATAGTTTGGTTAACCAATCTAGTGTTTATTCAATTATTTGTTAATTGAATATTTTAGCTTGTCGAGTCGAACATCGCCATCTCAACTGAGCGAAGTTCAAATCGTGTTAGCTTTTCTTAATGCGTCTAACATTTTCCATGCCAAAAACGTTAATGAGTTCTTGAAGTAGAAACCTACCAAAGGTCGTTTTCCGTTGTTTTTTCGTTTATTCATTTTGCCCAAAAATAAAGATTAAATTTTGTTCATAACAAGGCAACCCAGTTACACCGAAACTTTGCGATAAGCCCGTTCATTTGCCTGTGCAGACACTTCAACGTTTATTTTCTGTTCCGATCCCACTAACACGTACTTCAGTGTAACTTCGCATTCATCGTCATTGACTGTGCAGTGATAATCTTTAGTTCAAAACCTGTTTTATCACACTTCGTTGGTTGAATTAGCTTGTTTCAAAATGGTATATTAAAAGCAATTATGGGATTCGTTAATATGGGTGGTACAAAAAAGACCAACGCCCTTCGGGTGATTAGCATCTGATTTCTCCTTTCAGTATCGCTGCTGAATCAAACATAACGGTCATGATAATAAAAGAAATGATCACCAATGAGAGGTCTTGATTCGTAAACAAATGAAGAAATGTAAAATGGTTTCCATGTTTACATAGCCTGATCTAAACACGCGGGAGGTTGGGAGAACACGAGATAAGCGTAGGAAACCACGACGCGAAGCAGCAATGGTTTCTTTTATAAAATAACTAATGAAAAAGGAACGAAAACCGTGTTTAAATACGCTCATGTAAAATGGTTTTATGGTCAATCAGAGCGCGCGTACTATTTGAGTTATTTCATAATTCTCCTTGTCAGCACTAAAGAAATTGTATAAAAAACAAAATGGAGAATATAAACATAGCGGAGTGTTTCCTTGATATAACAAAAAGCTGTGCCTATAGGTTTACAAGGAAATTTCAAATGAAATTAGAAATTAGAAATTTTCCATCTAACAGATGGAAAAAAACTAGATACCAGATTATGAGAATACAAGGCCAAGCTTTATGTCATATCCGAGGTCTTCAATGGGGGCAATCTAGCCACGGGCCAAATAAGATTATAGAATAATTCTCTGTTTCCTTCTTATTCAATATAGGATAGAGATATCACTTCATTAAGATAGGAGTTGGCAGACCTTCCAATCACAACACAATTAAGATAAAACAAGTCCTTGAGGTAAAGGATTTGCCAATTTAGAAATCTTAGCCCTCTGCTAATCTCTCTTTGATAGTCTGAGTATTCTACAGCCTTAAAAGCTAATAGCATAGCAGGAAAAAAGAATCAAGTGTTTTGTCAGACCCAGGAAATGATTTAATAGGGAATAACATTGGCCATTTTTAACGGAAATCTCTAGAAAGGGTTGCTTTCACTAAAATTGCGAAATTTCGATTCGTTGCCTTCTTGCGAGGTATAACACGATAATTTTCATAAATTTTTTAACGCTGAGACTTAAAGGAAGTTACAAAATATCGGTTCGGTGAGAAAGAAAACACAAAATAGAAGGGATTTCTCAAGGTGAAGAAGATTGTCTTGATTGGAATGAAATGATTACAAAAGATTAGTTCGGTGAGACAGAAAAACACAAAAGAGGCAGTGATATATCAAAAAGGAAAAAGGTTAGTTGAGGTTAAAAAAGACTGACATGGATTGTAAATGAATATAAAAGATTACTTCGATAAGATGGAAAACAACAAAAGAGGTTATGATATACCAAGGAGGAACGAGAATGGAGAAGATTATAGTGAATTGCAAATTATAATCTCAAGACAATTTAGTAAGAAAGAATTTGACAAGATAGAAGAACCATAACATAACCGTTCCTTGAAAATTCTAGAAAGGAGATTTGGTAGTCTGTCTGAGTAAGAGGGTTTTATTGAATATTACTTCGCGTGGGCAAACCATTCTTCTTTCCCGGTTTACTTTGCCATTCTAGTTCACAGTAATCTATCGTTTTAGTATCAGCCTCAATGCATGAAATTACATGGCTGTCATGGAAATCTCGTTGCCTTCCTTTTTCAAAATGACGAAGGATGACAACAGCACCACCTGATGATAGAAATGATAAAAGACTCTATGTTTTAAGGAGAGCAGTGAAATATTTCCTGTTTACTTTGGAACTGGAACCTTTTTACTTCAGCTGATAACTCAGCTACAAAGAAAACAAACACAAACGGAAGATCGTTGCCTATATAGTGCACTCGGTTGGGAGATCTTTTAACGCTGTACGTCCTTCATTTACGATTATCATTATCCTTAATATCTTCAATTTTATCAGTTGACATGTTAGCTTCTATTTTTGTATGATAATCTGACAAATGATTTGCGGGCTAAAGGTTAATATTTCGGTTTCCTTGGATAACCCACTGAGCGAAATAGACTTTCCTGATACACATATATCTGAGTAAAGTCAGACAGACGGTCTCCAAAATCAAGGGGGGTTTAGTAAATAAATGATATGTTATCTGCACATTAACAAAGACGTTGTTTACAGAACACTTAATATAGCATCATGACTAGTAAGAGGCAAAATCAAAACGATATTTCAGAGTTACGTGGCGGTATGATTTGAGGTATTATCGAGAAATTTCTTATTTTTTCATTGAAAACTAGGTTTGTCTACAGAATCATTCCTAACATTAAATTAAATATGATATTGTATCACCTGAAACCTTTTTCAGCCGTTAAGTGCTGAAGTAAGAAAAGGCTCAACTCTAATGCTTTTCCTTTCGACAAAATGGCAAAGTCCAAAATGGTTTTGCTAAAAGCGTGCCTTAGCTAGATGCCTCGAGGATTCACAATGACCTGACCTCTATCAAATAAAATTTCGAACATTTTGTTGAATTTTTGCCAGTATACACAGTTTCATCTTAATTACATCGAATAGGATTTTCTGGAGACTTGTCGATCTTCTGAGACCGCTGAAAGATGTTGGAACCCATGAGAGCTGCGTCATAATTCGCCCACAAATGCCATACGAACTAAAGGTGTAAATAATGCTTCTCTCTATCATAATCACACATGTGGATTTCTTTCGGAGATAACTTAGAAGTAGGCTGGTAGTTTACTGATCTACAAGCGGTGAGGGAGAAAACCAACCTGAAAAAAAGTTTATTGGTAG